AAATCAAGGCGTCATTTGGGAATATCTCAGAAATCAAGGTGTCATTTGGGAATATCTCAGAAATCAAGGTGTCATTTGGGAATATCTCAGAAATCAAGGTGTCATTTGGGAATATCTCATGAACTGGAAAAATGTATGGTTAGAGGCACTAAAGAAAATAAAGGTTAAACGGTGGACAAAAATCATTTTTAGCCCAAAACTCACCTTTTATTAAGCAATTCACTCTGAATCTTTTGCAATATTTTGGGACATTAAAAGGGGGAATGTTGAAGGAGATCGAATTGCACTCTGGCAAGGTGCGATTTGGACATTTCTGCTGGAAAGCACCAACGCTGTATTCATACCATTTTGACGGTGCTTGTTTTCACTGCCCTTTTCTCCGTTTTGTTTTCCTTCAGGCAGTAAAATTCAGAAGCATAATCGCTTGCATAATCCAGGCTGCTTCACTAAAATACCCAGATGCTGGGCTGCATGCCTTGGACCGGGGCCATTGCTGAACAAGTAGGAATGTCAGTAACTCAGCCTTGTAAAACTTTACATTAAACTGATGAATATCCATTTGTCCATACATCTTCCAACTGCTTCTCCAGCACAGGGTCACGGAGATTCCGGAGCCTGTCCCAGAAGACAAGAGATATAAATCCATCCATCCATTCATCCATTTTTTGCTGCTTACCCAGTACAAAGTCACTGTGGACCTGAAGCCTATCACAGGAACCACAGGTCAAAAAGCAGGCCACACTCAGGGTGGGATACCAGCAGAGCATGAAATCTCGCTCTTGGCTGACGTTGGGTCCACTCCACCGGCATTGCCTGCTACTAGCTAGCCTGACTCCGGCTTGTCACCAGAGAGCAATCAGGCCTGCTTTTAATTACCTCTGCCCACCCCCCAGCACGCACAAATACAGCCAAACTGTACTGGACACAAGGCAGGGGAATGCATTATTGATGGAATATTTCCAGTGAACAACCATTCTACTGCTTTTAGAAGCATAAGGTTGACACTCTGTGCTATATACAAGTTCTATGCTCAGCTACAGCCACCATACAGTCATATAACCGTACAACAATGTTCCACTGTTTTCAGAAGCTTAACAGTGTCGTGCCGAATCTCCAAACACAGGCACTCTGTGCCAAATACAAATTTTATGTCCATGACTAGAGTGCTGGCAAGCGTGCTGTCACACTCCATCACACTCCATCACACTCCATCCCATGGCACGCTGACAGATCAATCAGCTGAGTTTTAATCCCCATTGACAAGGACACTCTGCAAAGACCAGCGACTGCTCATGAGCGTTTACATCAAGTATGCCGTGAGACTTCCAGTGTTTTTCTTTTGTAGAATAGCAAATGGCTAAGGAAAAACAAATTCCCGGCAGAAGGTTGTCGGTTTATGACCCTGGGGGGGGGGGGGGCTTTGCTGAATTACCTGAATTAGTTATTTAGACAAATAGACAAATTATTACGTAGGTATGGTTGGTGTGGTGGTGCAGTGGTTAGCACTGTTGCCTCACACCTCTGGGACCAGGCTCTATGTGTGGAGTGTGTAGGATCTTGCAAGAATATAGTACTGCGTCTAGACTTGAAGTTGGACTCCCTTCCCAAGGGTGGTGGGGGGGAGACCTTGTCAGCTTGCATTATTAGCATCAATAAAACCTGGCGATACACTCAAGGAATGTCCATCACTGTCCCTGCAGGGGGCGCTCCACACTCTCCTGTAAATACTTTTGGTAAGTATGGGTTAAGAACTAATGCCCTTCTGAGACCAGAGAAAAGTAATGAGGATAAACTGTGCACACACACACCAAAGGGAAACAGGAAGAATTGGTCAGTACCACACTGCCTGTTCACATCACCGAATCACACCACTCTGCACTCTTCCATCCAGCTGCAATCTGCTTCCCCTCTCGTCACCCTGTGCTCTCTCTGAGATATTGGGTCTCGGAATACCGCCACCCCTTTTCACTCCTGATCATTACTCAGCGCCCCCTCCATAGCAGGTGAGAGAAGTCTGTGGCGATTGCCTGGGTAATTAGAGGGGAGAGGTTAGACGTGGGGGGAGACAGTGAGCAGCCTGGTAAAGGAAGGCGACACAGGATTGTACTGTACGCTGCATTCAGGTACAGTGTTTTCAGTTCCTTTATTATCCAGTTACACCCTTCCTGACCCTACATTACATTTCACATACAGATGCTTCTCGTTTTACGATGTTGCACTTACAATATTTACAATGGTGCAATAGCAAAGCACATCAGACTTCGAATCTTAATCTGTTCCTCAACTAGCAATATGCCATTCGATTCCGGTTTCTGTAGCAATCATGAGGGTAAACATCTCATACGGTGTTTAAATGGATTCTGTGGTGTTTTATTCTGTATTTAACCAAATAAACTTGTATTCTTGTCTTTACTTTTCAATTACTGATACTTAGTTACTTACAGTAATTACTTAAGTGCTTATTCAAGTATTTATTTATTTAGTATATTCATATTCATCAGACTGTAACCCCGTCGTAAGTTGAGCAGCACCTGTACAGATCATTTGATGAAATGGAATCAATGGTTTTCACATTTATGTTACTGAGTAAAAAAATATAAAAATTTCTACTTACTGTAACCTTATGACCATAAGGTAGGTCGAGTTCCCGATCTGAAGCATAGAGTTCAGCCCAGGCTGGTATGTACTGCCCAAAGCAGGCAGAAGCATATTTGTCATGGGGATAAATATTATGGTAGAGTATTAGCGACCATGATGGATCGGAAATGTTTCACAGGGTCAAACTGAACAGTTGACCTCGCAGCGGAAGGACAGCTGGCAGACAGACACGCATCTCAGATGCCACGCTGGCCAGCGGGAGCAGATTGCCGTCCCAGCCTGAGCAGGTCAAGCGTTTGACAGTCGGCGTGATGGCCCCTGGACTCGGGTCCGACTCAGCCTCCTGTCCCAGGGAGGGTCATGGCGGGCCATCGGGCCTGTGGTCCAACATCACCCTAATATCATCATCATTCCCCATCAGAGTGAAATCACACCGGTAATTAATGAAAGTAATTAATTACTAAAGGTAACTAATTAATTACTATTAATTACAAAATATTTAATAGAAGTATGTAATTTCTGGACTAGCATCCAGTTCAGCGTGTACCCCAGTCCTATGCTGCCTAGGATGGGATCCAATCCCCCCCCCCCAACCCTGTGGCCCCCGAACAGCATAAGTTGGTAGAAAATGGATGGATGTGATGTTAGGATTATTATTATCATCATTTTTTTCCAGAGGTGGAAATTTCAGGTCCAGAAAGTAGAAATCTAGACCAAGTCAAGTCAGGTGAAGATATCTTTATTTATTTAGCATATCTGAAAGACAACTACAGTGCTGCACAATAAAATCATCTAAGGAAAGACAAATAATTAAAACAGAGAAAAGGTAATGTATGTAATTTAAAACTTAGAGCAATGTAAAACTGAGATCAAACAAAAATATAAACAATATAAAATTAAGAGACCATTTTTTTTTCAACCAACCAGCATAATTCTTTTCAACCAACCAGCATAATCACAGCAAGGCGCCCCCTACTGTACAGATGTGGATGTGATCTTGCTGCTGTGCATTAACTAGTCGTGATGTGAAGACCCAGAGGACTTGCCTCTCGTCGCTCTGCGGACCATGTCGCCTGCGTGCTGGTGGGGCCGTGGGTGGAGATGAAGCGAGCGGCATCCTCCTTTATGAGCGACACTCTGCTCACCGAGGCCCGCGGGCCGCAGAGCGACAAGGCGTGGGCAGCTGACGGCACAGAAAGCTCAGGCGTGGGGGGGTTTGCGCTGGTCACCCCCACCCAAGCTGCAACAACAAGGGCAACAAGCAAAAGAGGGGAAAGACTGCGAGAATAATTAGCTATTCCACATTGGGAGAAATATGAGTAAGACTGCAAATGGAGTTAAAATTCTACAGGCAAAACAGGGCTGCAGTATTCAGAAACAAACCTCTTTTAGGTCAGGAATGATTCATATTTTTCACTGGGTGAACTGGAGCTTAGGGCAGACTTTGTGTTATTATTTAATATTTTTTTATATAGGAGCAAAATGACCTTATTTTCAGGCTGCTTAAATCACAACAGCACAAAGAGGTTTTGACATCCGCGTGAAACGCCTGCAGAGAGAAATCTGTGCAGAGACTCACACAGTCCCTGACTCAACGCTGCTGGGAAGGTCGCACAGCCAAAACCTGTGTTGCAGCGCCACCTGCTGGTTCAGTACAGATTTAAATGCATTGCTGCAAGGATTAACTATGGCTTGAAAGGATAGATTTCTCTAGCCCACCATCTGATGGACAATATAACATACCAGTGATTTTGAAATATTAAAGAAAAAACTATTAAAATCCGTATTCAAAGCGATGATCATTAACCTTTCCCCATGGTTTTCCTACAGTCAATTCCATAATGAAAGTTGCAGACAGAATGATACAATCCAAATACGTATTAGCATAAATTGCTAATAAAATTATATAATTGTGTCATTGTGTGATTTTGAGCACTGCATGGTTATTTCCAACAGAAACACACATATATTTGTAAATAAGCATGCACCTGTTCACAACACAATTATTCAGAGGCTAGTATCTGTACAGTACAAGAAGTTCATGTTCAGAGGAGCATGATTGTCTTTTACAATCAATGTGGCACTGTTAGTGCTCCACTCTTTGCTGTGACACAGGTTTTTCCCGTAATGGTTATATTTGACTTTTACAGTGCTCTTTGTTATAAGGGAGGTTTCTGGCCCTACTGTACAGTTATATTTGACTATTACAGTGAATGTGGCACTCTTAGCGCTCTGCTCTTTCCTGTAAGGCAGGTTTCTGGCCCTACTGTACAGTTATATTTTACTGTTACAGTGAATGTGGCAGTGTTAGCGCTCTGCTCTTTGTTGTAAGGCAGATACCTGGCCCTACTGTACAGTTATATTTGACTATTACAGTGAATGTAGCACTGTTAGTGCTCTGATCTCTGCTGTAAGGCAGGTTTCTGGCCCTGTGGCACTATGACAGGAATGCTTAACTGGCCTCGGCGCCGCTCAGAGCACGCCTCTAGCCACATCTTCCCGAAAATACCCCTCACATGATGCCAGTTGTTGCTCCAAGCCTTATTTTTAGTTCATGGCATCCCATCTCCGTGGGGTTGTTTGCCCCTGAGCTTTTGAGGCTTGAGGCTAAAGGCTAGCAGCCAGTGGCTAAATGTTTACCTTTGGGCGATTTGGATCAAGTCCTTTTCTGAAGTTTTCATCAACAAGGGCCATTCTTGGAACTAACAAACCGCTGTGAAGTTAAACATGACGCTATCTGCTCGTTACGGGACAGCCTGTGTTACATCTGTGGGGTCTTTCTGTGAATTCACCAGGGCAAAGGCACGCAGACGCTTTTTTAATCTCCTTGTTCATAATTTATCTGTGGGGGGGGGAGAGTGCCACACACCTGTGTCCACAGAGTTATCGCGTGTTTCGACTGAGTGACCAGACGTGGTCCAGGCGCTTTCCTCACAACGTACTTCAGACCAGGCGCAAAGCTGTCCGCGACGGGCTAAACAAACAGGGCGTTTCAGAGCCAGGGTAAGAACAACGTTAGCCGCTGTGTGTTTGTTATGGCAGGTATGTTTATCCGGCCTGAGAGCTGATCCCCGTTATCAGGCAGAGATAAGGCGGCACAGAATTCCCTCTGGGTCGCTGGGGCTCTAGCTGTGAGTCCGGCCTGATTCCACTTCAGCGTCTGTCATGTCACCAGTGATTTCCCATCATTTTCATTTCCCAACGGCCCATGCGTGGTTCTCCATGTCCATGTTCGAACAAGTGACCTTCAGATAAAAGTCACCACATCCTAACCCGTTAACACACCGCCAAGGGTGTAGAATTTGGGCATGGACAGTAGGGACCTGACCCTAGCATTATTGGGGGAGTGCCGTGTGTGTTTGGAGGGGCGGGGCGTTAGGGGCTGATTCAGTCCCTACGAATGTGGAAACCAAACCTACGCCCTTGCGCAGTGCCCCCTAAACTTCCACTGTCCCTTAATCACACATGTATGTATTTCCACCTTTTCCCCAAGCAAAAGGTTCCGCTGCTTGGCTTTCACATAAGGGCACCCATTGCATTCAAAGTCAGACAGGTGGCATCAGTTATTCACCTGTGATGAGTGAGCTACCTGGTATTAGAAGGACTGGTGCCCTGGGCCGTATATCAGCTACACCAGTCACTCCAGGATGAGAAAGTACGTCCTCATAAGTAGGTCATCGTAACCTCTGCATGTTGTCAGCAAAAACAGAAACATTTGTCTACAGTGTTAAAACAAAGTGTATCAAACCACGATGTCAGTCTGAAATACCTAAAAACTTTAGTCGCCATTTAAATACTTTCTAGAATATCTCTGCGAACAAAATGATCATTTTAGGAATGCTGTCTTATGCAGTCCCTAGAGAAGACAAATACATTTTTTTTTCTGAAGTTCAAGGAGAATGACTATGATTTATAACTTCTGGATCATATTTTGTGTTGACGCTCGCTATTTGTGTCTGTCCCACCCCTCTTTCATCAGCATATAGTTCACCCACGATGAGAACTTTATGCAGCGAACGGCGGCTCTGTGTTTCCCAGAGATGCACCGCGTGCTTGTGTGAGTGGCAGGTCGCTATATGTGCCAAAGCACACGTCCTATGAGACCCATTTAAAGTCCTCGCCTCGCGCTGCCTGTTCGAAATACAGAAATGACAGAGGCAGATGACAGACATCCGGGTGCAAAGCATCCAAAAAAAGGCCAAGGAGATGTCAGAGAAAGCCTTTTCATTTCTGTTGTACTGTTCCAGGAAACTTTGCCCGTGGTATGAAATGCGATATTCTGGCTGCCATTGAGTTCATTACATATATAAAGGGTCTGATTGTTTACTGTTTTTCATTGATGTGTGATGAAGATGAGTGATAGATGTTCAAAAAACAGAACAGACTCCTTCTCTTTAAACTAACGTGGTGTATTTTACGTTTTGGCTTACCTCGCCTTATGTCCTGTACTGCTTGGGATTGGCTGCAGGATTATTATGACTCTGTACTGGATTAGGGGTTATCAAAGACGCATGGATGACTGATGCCTAGGTAAATACGGTTTCATGATTTGTTTTCACTGGTATGTAACATTTTTAGTTAAAGTTTCATTTAAAATTTACATAAAAAGTTGTTGTTTTCAAAAAGTACAAAATGAGTTCTAACAAGTCTTATATCAGTGTTTATATCTGGTGCAGTCTTTTGAGAAACTTTCTCACACTCAGTGTATTCAGCTGAACGACAGGCTTCCATCGCCGCCACCCCCCCAAAAAAATAATAATTTTTATTACCAAGACAATCTCCTTCAAAATCGGTGATCAAAGTCTCTAATCAACCACCCCCACAAATATATATATATGTATATATTTGCCCTCTCTGGTTGGCAAATATACCAAGGGCTGCAGGAGCCCCCACAAAATGCATTTCTGGCTACGGGTCTGGCCCCAAAATATGCACAAAATGCAAAAACAGTAACGCTTTTTGTGACAGATAAAATGCTAAGTAATCATATTTGTTCAACACAGTGGAAAAGACACCCTAAATTGATCTGCAACATCAATAAAACGGAAATAAATACAAAACTTTCTTTATACAAGCCTGCTGCAAAAGAAGCAGCTACATGCATTTCCAGGATGCATTTATATAATCTAGTCCCTCCCTCACAGCTACCTACAGTTCAGCCAGTGGTCCTCAAAGCATTGTATTTCTTTCTTGGGTGTCTGTTCTTCAATCAATAACATCATAATTTTGCTTCCAATGCCTTTCCTCCCAGTGATCGTTTTCCGCTCTGTGACTTTGGTTACATTCTCACTCGCCCCTTTTTTCTCGCAGCCATTTTCACTCCTTTGTCGGTGGCCCCTCGAAACACCCCCATAAAAACAAAACATCGCTGAATATAGAATCAAGTCGTCTATGTTGGTCTGTCATTTGCTTGCGAACCATTCTTTCTCCCCGTGACAGCACAACCAAAACAAAGAGAAAAGGTAGAGTATAAAGCAAGCAATGAAATCATAATGGTAAGCTGTTACAAGGAGCAGGGCCACCGACGCGCCACAGATTACAACTTTAGAAGCATCTTCAAAGGAAGAGGAGTCGTTCTTGCAGAAAGGATGAATTCTTGTGGCTTTTCCTGGTTCCTCCTTAGGGGGCAGTCTGACTGGGTTAGTATTTATTGATTCTCCGACTACTGAAAGGTCCGTCGAAGGCCGGCCGCTCCGCCACTCCTCTTCGCTGTACCAACCCTCGTACGGAGACTCCCTGATCGATGGCAAGGGGGTCCTCGCAGTCATGCCCTGATTGATCGAGTTTCTTTTGCTGACAAGAGTCAATACATCTCTAAAGGGGTGGGTGGTTGGGTTAGAAGATTTCTTGTGGCACTTCAGCCCAAGTAGGTATTGCTCCATCTCATCATCGCTGTAGGAGTCATTGGAGCTGTTCTCCTCCGCGAATCCCTCTTCATGACATGTGTCCAACTCACTCTGCAGGTATTCCTCACCTGCACTCAGACTTCTCACTTCTTCATGGAATTCAGGGTCTCCTATGTCATCACCATTGACTTCTCTCTCTTCTCTAGACATGCTCTCTGCTTTGTGAAGAACCCTGTGTACTCCTTCATCCACCCCATCTTGTTCTTGTAGATCCTCTTTTCCTCTAACACTACCCATATCTTCATACTGAGACCCGTAAGCTGTTTGTTCTCCTTCAGGCAGCAGCATATTGTTCTGCTCTGAAAGATCTCCGCTTCCTTTCTTTCCATCTCTCTTTAGGTATTCTTTTTCTTCCAGGAGGACACCATTGCCATCTTCATGTCTTTGTGTATAAATAATACCATCCTCTTCTCTGAAGTATAAATCCTTTTGTTGTTCCTTTTTGTTTACGTATTCCTCCCTAAAAATGTTTCCTTTGCAGACATCTTCATCTTTCACTCCCCTGCCTTCCTTGCAGAGATGGACCTTCTCTTCTGTAAATACCTCTCTCTCTTCCCTTAGACCAGTGCCCCCTTCATAGATGTATTCAATATTTACACTATAAATAGTTTCCTCACATTCTGGAAGATGGGAGGCTCCCTCTAATGTGTCTCTTTGATCTTCTTTTCCGTTCCTTTGCAGCATATTTATACAGGTTTCTTCTTCTCTGAAATGACCGTCCTGTCTAGTCACATCTTCATCTTTCCCTTCGCGGAACACTTCCACCACTTTGTTGACTGTTTTTCTAAGTAGATCATCATTGTTGATCTCCCTGCCTCCTTCCTCTGTATTTTTCAGTAATATGTACCCTCCTTTATTGTAACTGTCTTTCATTTCTATTAAAAAGTCTTCTGTGTCACAGACGAGCACTTTCTCTCCTCTCAGGGGTTCTTTAATTCCTGGCTTCACCCCTATTTCTTCACCAAAAGCTTTTTTTACTTCTCTTAAGGATGTTTCCTCCTTGTGCTCAATGGGAGCTTCGTCCTTTGATTTTAAAAACTCTTCTTCGTTTTCACTCTGTTCCACCGCGTCTGTAAAAACTGGATCTTTTAGATCATCAAGAGATTCCTCTCGTTTCCCATAAACTTTGTGCCCTTTATTTTGTTCTTCTGACTCTGCTCTCCCGGCTTCACCGTCTCTGTTCATTGATTCTCCATCATTTACCCAATTAGAGTCGTCGTTCAGTCTGAACACTTCATTGCTCTGACAGACATCTATCGCGTTTTTACTGCAGAGGTCTGTCATGGCTGTACCACTGGCATCAAGTAGATTCCTGATGTTCTCTGACCCTTCTTTTGAGTTTGCAAAGAATGTGTCAGGACCAAATCCTTCCACTAATTCTGTCTTTTCTAAGCTGGTATTAGGACGTTTTTGAAGTATTGGTAAACTGTCCCAGTCTGCTTGTCCTGCACGTGTTACTGCCTCGTCAGCCAGACGGCCATAGTTACCCTCTGTGTCATTTTCCCCAAATTCAGTGCTAGGTCTGTCATTCGGGATTTTGTGTACTTCCTGACACTCAAGGTTCAGGAATGTTTGTGTCTGAAGGCTACTCGTGGCGTTTTGGGTTCCGTCTTCAATAGATTCTTTGTCTTTAGCCACATTTACATGACCCACAGAGGCTTCTAGAAACTTCTCATGCCAGCTCCCTGATTGGTCCGCAGGAATTTCAGGTACGTTAGCAGAGGCCTCACTCTGGATACTCACGTCATGTGACTCGTCCTCATTTTCCGTCTCCTCATCTTCCCACCAGTTGAAATCTGCCACTGACGCTGACTCTTGATCTTGATTGGCGTCACTGTTGCCAGCCTTCATCCTGTAGGAGGCCTGTTGATAAAATGGAGCCACCAAAATCCCAAAAGTGAAGGGGTGTTGAGCCGCAGAGGGGTGGTTGTCTGACTTGGGCTCGGTCCTGACTAAGGATACTTCCCGGCGAGTGGCTTCCACATGTCGCGCACATGCTTTCCTGCTGATTTCATTTTTACTTCCAGTCTCATTATGCATATTTGTAGCCTGCTCACTCACCCCTCGAGCACCGGAGCTTGTGACTTTCTGGGGAGCCGCAGGTCGGCCGGTAAATGAGGCCTCCAAATTAACCTCCGTCTCGCCCACACATTTGGCATCAGAAATGGCCTCACAAAGATCACTTGCTTTCATTTCAAGGATGACCTCCTCCGTCTTTCCAAGTCCCGCCTCCGGATCTGTCCGACTCCGCGCGTCATTGGTCCCTGGGTTAATCACCGATTCTGTTGCCAGCGGCAATGGCGAATCAGGTTCACGGGGTGGCCCCTGCCCCTGGCTGCTTGTTTGATGTCCACCTTCTGTACCTCCTGAGAGAGTCGGGCCCTTCTTGTGGTGTGGCTTTCTAGCTGCCATGGCTTCTTCGCCCCTGGCCGATTCACCCCCCCACAATCGCGCTGCCATCTCTCTCTGGGCAAAGCGGTTCCGTATCTGGTCCAGGTGCGACTGCTGATGCTGCTTTCTCCTCTCACCGGAGCACTGCCCGCTATCCTCCTATCATCAAACACAAGCGAAAAAGTTACTGGCCCATGTTAATTCTGCTGTTAACAGAAGGCATTCGGCAGATGAAGGACGTTTGAATGTGAATGATGATGACTGAATATATAATACAGCATAAATACATGCAACAAACTCTATGAATAACATGCAGTCGACACAAATATGTCACATTACATAAGATGCCATAGAGAGCATTCTGTCCTCTTTAATTTTAGTGCCGTTCTATCGCGATGTCTATCTTTGGGCTGTTGGTCTCTGAGGAATGTAACAGATTGTAAAGTCCAGCCCCGTGGCTTGATGAAGAGCCAAATAATTGCTTATCTTCAATCTTTTTGAAGAGTTTCATTAGCCATGTCGTCTGCTCCTTGACACTCATGTCACTGGAGTTTAAAGGGGGTTTGAGGCCTTTTGGCACGCGCCTCACACCCCCCCTCCCCCTCCCCCTCCCCCGACGTCCCGCACCAGCCCCAAGCCCCAGCTGCCGCCCCCAGCAGAGCCGTCACGTGACACCGCTCCGGAAAGGGCACTGGGGTTCACGGCATCCCCCCCTTGATTGCAGGGCAAACATGCAGGCCTCTGAAGCCTCACACTTGACATTTACAGACGGGAGCCCAACAGACGGTTTGTCATTGCCTCTTAACCCTATGTGTGCTGTGCTTGGATTGCATCACTGGATGTCTATGTGTGACATAGACATATATATATATATATATACATATGCACAAACACATGTCTGTGTGTGTGTGTGGGCGTATATATGCATACACACAGAGACCATGCTGCATCTGTTTGTATCTATACATTTCACTGTACATTGGGGTATGAGTGAGTGCATTTTTCCAGTTATAGAAAATCAATTACAAAAGTGATCTTCCCTATATTAACTCATCAGCAAAAGGAACTTAGGGGAGAGTGTGATATTTTTGAGCATATTTTTGGGGCACTCCATCACTTAAATGCAAAGGTCTATTTATTGGGGGGGGGGGGCGGTAAATTAAGCCAAATTAAATATCGGTGGATGCATACCCCTCTTGGTTCCTATGTCCCTGTCGCCCATTCATTATTGACCATTTCAGCATACTTTATTTACGTTATTTACAATGTCACCATGTTACCAAAGCACATCCATGGTAAAAAAAAAATGCAGAATGGTCTCAGGGAAGAGATCATTTGTTTATATGACATGGGGTTTTTTTTTTTATAAAGGCATGTGCACTGTCAGCGTGCCACTGGCGCAGTGCGAGTAGCTCCCTCTTTCCCCCACACACCTCTGACCCCCCAGCTGTCGGCTTCTCCCCTAGGTTAACCTCACCACGGCTGTCTCATGATCCTCCTCAACTTTCTTCTCCGAACGCCACACCTCTGGGCCTTCCCGCGCCATCGCCTCACTGCTGTGTTTGCGCTCGGCTGGAAAACAGAATTCTTGACTCTTAGAAAACAAAGCACAAAAGAATAACTCGCGGGGAAGAAGAACAGGAAACTAGGAACATACCTAGAACTTCTAAAGAGGAGCTGGTTCCTATGGGGGAACAGGCTATGATGGAGGAACAGGAACCCATGGAGACCTCGGTTCCAGCACTGGGCTCCTTTCTGGAAACAGAGCAACATATCTCTCAGCTTTGACGCGTTTCAGGAAGCTCCGGTCCTACCCGGTCCTTCACCTAGCAACCGTTAGCGTAGCATCAGGTGAGGGTCTGAGTTCGGCTTCCCATGTTTTTAATGATGCTGGACATTTGTCCTGCTGACTGATCTGGAACCAGAAGGCAACGTTATTCTTTTAAGACAAACCCCTGCAAAACAGCAGCGGAGATGACCTGATGTCATCCTTCGTGGGTTTTTTACCTATTCTGGGTAGCATATTCAGTAACACTTTATGCAAAGCTGTCATATGCAATGCATTATAGATACCTTCAGAATGCATTATACTATGTTATGAATGTGTTCATAGATTCTTATAGACATGGCATTCATAGACATGGCATTCATAGACATGGCATTCATAGACATGGCATTCATAGAAATTGTTACTGCATATCCTATATAGCATATTTGACTTTTTTATACATCATATTCTACTTTATTTTTGAAATTTCTTAATCTTTGCATTTCTTATTGTAATAACAATTCCCGGTGATTCATGGAAGACTTTGTTGTACTGGAAATGACAATATTCTATTGTATTCTAACTTCGATTTAACATTTATTTTACTGAACAAGCTCCCAAACAAAGCCAGGCAACAAACTATCTCTCACTCCACGTGTTGCATGCATAGTACGTGTACATTTTGCGTCCAGAAGCCATTCGAGCTTAAAAAGAGTTTTACTTAGGGACCACTTATCTTAGTAATCCAATATGCAGCGTTATTAATAATCAATACATACATGGATGTACACTTGCAACCAAATAGTAATTACAGCATTTGCAATAAATCATACACACGTGTATATTGATTAATGCAAACCCAAAATCTGACCCGCATTTTAACCTAACATTATAAATGCGTGTGATCTGTTGTAATAATACAATTAGCATTGCCTTTCATTCATAAATGAATATTAAACATCTCTGAGTGCTCTGTAATGTACTTATTGGTCCCTAGCAGCATAATGTAAAACATATGAAAGTCTGACAGATTGCAGTGACGGGGTTCACTGCGAAGCTCTCACCCGACTCCTTTGAGACAGCTCCTTCTGGTCTTTTCCAGGGCCTCGTTCGCCTGCTTCCCTCCCGTCTCGGCACAGTAGAGCACGTAATTCGAACCGCCGTTGTTCGCCCAGAAGGTGCCGACTGCCGTCTCGTACCGGACACAAAACTCGACTCTGGACCCGTCTCGACCAAACGGAGGCACCAGCGTCAGCCGGAAGGAGAATCGGTCCGTCTGGCCGTCGCTCGAACCCGGCACGAACTCCGCCGGCAGGTCGAAGCAGGTGGCCCAGCCGTCGAGCGTGGCGCGGACGTAGACCCGCTTGTCGAAGCAGAAGTTGAGAACCCGGATGACTCCCTTTAACGTCGTCGTTCCCGGAAGCAGTTCCACCGACTGCAGCTCTATCTTACTCTCGGCAAGTTTTCCCACGAGCTCCGCCTCAGAACTTGGCATTGGGAAGAGACGCGACAGGCAGTATTCCACTTGCTGCTTGGAATCTGCCTCCAGGTCTGGCAGCATTGACATGCCCCGGGTGTCAAACTCTTTAATTGACACCAGATTCAGGCCAAAAGTATCAGCAAATGACACCCTCCTGGCCTGGGTGGGCCAGCACTCCCGATCCGTCCCAGAGACATACAACGAATCGCCCTGCCAGGGAAGTGGGGGGGTCTTGGGAGCGGTTTCATGATCCGGCTTGTCTTCACCCCCGGGCTGGCTAACCCCGACCACATCCGGCCTGCCGGAGGTGTCGGCATGCGGTGGTTCCCCTTTGTGGTCCATGGGATTGTGTGGGACCCAAGTGGATGGGACACACTGTGTTTTGGAGACATTTGAGATGCGGGGAGCGAATGGCAGGAGTCGAGTTACAGTTGACATTGTACGGAAAGTGTCCTATAAATAGCTCGGATGGTTTTAATGCCTCGCCAGTACAAGCTCGTCAGGCCTCAGTCACGTACCGAATATGTATCATTCCTTCACTTTTGGGAATCAGGTGAAATAATAAGAATACTTCTATAAACCACAAGCATTTTTTTCCCCATTATAAGACCGGGCAAATAATGGCGTTTTGAGCCGAACTATGGATTTCCGTGTTTGTTTTTGCGGTACAATCATTGGTAAGGTTTCACCATTCTGAGGGGAAGGCGAGATAAGAAGGGGCTCCATCCAGCAGTGCAAATACGACGGTACATGTGGAAATAAAACCCTCAGAAATATTATGTGGCCCGACTCAAAATCCGCATCCCGCGCCAGAACTTATCTCACGCACGGTTTTATCTACAACCTCGCACAATCCACTTACCGGCCGGCGATATTTGCATCGCAAACTTTTTTTCTCGCTGGAGAGGGGAGAGAGTTGTTTCGTCACAGGGTGTCATTGTCACGGGCCCTTTGTCGACGGCCCTTGGAGATGCGGAGACGGCTCTGTCAACATGAAGGAGGGTGAAGCAGCAGGTATATAAACGGGTGTGGGGAGGAATGAGAGGTTTTCATGAGAATGGCTGTCCGGGATTAAGCAGATTAACACGGCGCGAGAATGGAACTGGCAGTGAGGACGGATGCTGTGACGGAGATGGAGGGTGGACGCGGTGAGGCCTGCGACGTTGGTGAGGAAGCCCAGCGTGGGTCAACTCGTGGTCAGACTGATCCCGCCAGGCAGGGCACCTGGGCGACGGGAGGAGATGAGGCTGTTTCGGCGGCCAAGCCGACCATGTCCTACATAGCGCTGATCGCCACGGCCATCCTGTCTTCCCCAGAGCAGAGGCTCAACCTGGCCTCCATCTACAAGGACGTCCAGGACCGCTTCCCCTACTTCCGCACGCGCGGGCAGGGATGGAAGAACAGCGTGCGCCACAACCTGTCGCTCAACGACTGCTTTGTCAAGCTGGGCCGCTGCGAGGACGGCAAGGGCAGCTACTGGGGCATCCATCCCGCGCACCATGCCAACTTCCTGCGTGGCGATTTCCGGCAGCACCGCAAGGCTGGCCGCGGTCGACTCCAGAGGGCGCTCCGGGTCGCCACGACGAGGACCGTGTGGCGAACCCTGAGCCCCGTACTGCCCCACTATGATGCCGCAACAACGTCATTCCCCATGCCGTCTGTAGGGGGACTCTACTGTGAGCACCCAGATTGCAAGCTGCTTGCCTGGGGGTTGCTGCAGCCTTCGCTAGCTGGCCTGGGACAACCATGTTACAGTCTGTACATGAGACCCCCCCTCACAGACTGGCAGTTTCCTTGGCCAGCCTCTATGGACATCATTTATCCCGGGACATGGCTTACAGAACCCCCTCATTGTTACTGAGAAAAGCCATGACTGAGTGTTGTATAATGTCGCATTATATTTTGTCATAATTATTAATACTAACCTTTTTTAGAGAAAAATCCTGATTACAATGTTTGATCATAAAAGTTGCTCCATAGCCCAATGCTTTTAGGATGTTATAATCAGGGGCCAATTAACTTCTCTGGGGGCCCTAGGCTGACATGGGTGCGGGACCCTTAAGTGGGCCATTTGAATTACTTTTTGGAGCCAAAAGAGAAACAAGAGGGAATTAAAAACGATAGAACATCAATAAGATGCTAATCAAAGCATGGGGTGTTATTGGTAAAACTTACTGATCAGGGTGGGGGGCAGGTGTTGTGCCAGAGGATCGATTGGCTAAATTTAAGAAGTTTATCTGTTCCCTCTTGCCGATGCCCTGGGCTGTAGCCTAGGATAGCCTAGATCTTACTCCACCCCTGAGGCTAAAGTTGAACTTTTGCATATGTTCCTTAAATTGTGTTCACTCCACATCAGTTTACAATTTGCCTACCACTCTAGCAGAGCAGTATCGAAGACACCAGAGATGTAACGTTAGTATCGTATCTTTGCATCGCTTTCTTCTTCTGTTAGTCTTCTTTGTGCTGGTTTGATCGGCAGTAAAGAACTGGTACTGTCAGACTCCAGTGAAGTCTCAAAGTCCATTACAGGCTGAACTGGGGGACTTTGTCTGTCATGAAAATCATCGCAAAAATTGCGATTAGCAGACATGTTTGTATCATTTAAATGACCATATTATCTTATATCCATAAGTATAATGTAAGTCCACTCTTGGGTGTGATGATGTCATGCACTAGGTTCCCATTTAGCGCCCTCTGTTGGTGTGAAGAGAATGTTGCTCATGGTGCATGTATCTGACTCATCCAGTGCAAGCTGATCCCCCAGCAGCTGTGTAACGTACTCACTGCACTTTGGTGATACCTGACAAAGTCTGACCGCATGTGATGCTGTGAGTGACCCAAGTGGGGATTTCATAATTCAAGAAGGAGACCAGTGCTTGTAGATGGTAAACAATTGTGGTCAGAAAGAACCTGTGGTAAAATACTGGACATGTAACCAAATTTATGCTCCTTAATAGTCTCTGGCCTGACTATGGCTTATGATTACATGTTTTGCATGGGAGAGTCTTTTTGGGTTATTGTGTGTTTAACTTGTTTTTACAACATTCTTTTAATGACATCAATCTATCATCCCAGAACGACACAATATTAGGAGTCACTTGGGATGCTGCAGAACTTCCTATGTAAATAAAATCACTAAGCAAATCTGGATATTATTGGCTGAATGAAATGACAATTTGCACATTTTTTGGTTTGTTGTTACATTTATGTGACGTGGCGTAAAGACAATGTGTCAATATTCTCATTTGGTTTGGTCACTGCATCTTGTGATGCTTTGCTGATGGGAAATATGAAGGATTTTCTCTTCCTTTGCTCCATGCTTAGTAGTGAGAGTCTTCCTGACTGTGGCTGATTTAAGGACCACAGGGGGTTCCTCATTTGTTATAGGAAATCCATCTCCATTGATTCCTTTGGCTCGTGAGACAATTTGAATCAACTTTGTGCCACTGCAAATAATTGTGAATAAAGACTTAAATGTTTTGCAGGGCTTGTTATGGGTTTTACATACACATACGACCAGAATCTCCTTTACTGGGCTAACGATTTTGGGCGAAACCAGTCACACACCGGGTGACGTCATTACAAACAACCCATCACACTTGATGATGGAGGGATCTTCGATATTTCAAGCATAACCAAGTCATAAAGCTTAATTCAGAGATATCAGTGCACTTCTTTGGGTGAAATCAGACATCTTTGGATTGCGTTTGGTCAAAGTGATATATGTATTCATGCTATGCTATAGAGGCAGGTGAAACATTTTTTTTTTTACAAAAGAGCATAGTCCAAGTCTTGCTAGTGTGTAATGTAAAGCATTCTACAGCTGAAGAATTTTAAAGGTGCTTTCAGTTAATTTGATATAGATCTACCAGAGAATTTACAGTGGACAACTTACACTCCACATTAGCAGATACAAAAGCTACTATTCTGATATCTTTCGCTGATAACTTGCTGACTGAAAGAGGCAGCCCTGACTAATGCATAGAACTACATTAAGAGAGATCTATTTGTGTTCCTCTTCAGTGCCGTCTGGTGAGCTGTTTGGATCAGCATTGAGAGTCACTCGTAGAAATTTCGCGCAATGTAAAAGATTATTTAGTTTGCTGTTCCTTTTTCATTGATTACAGTTGCTTTGTAATTAACTCACCTCTTGTGAAAGTAAAGCATAGAAGGTGCTTGTTTTTCTTTGTTTTAAAAACACTTTAACAATAATAATCTGTACAAACTGGCTTACAGTAATACAATAAGCGCCAAAGAATTGACAGACCCTTCTTACCACCACTAGGAGGCGACAGACACTCTTTCATGACTTTTTTAGTTCTCCTCTGCCACCTACGTACAATTCAACGATTACGGGCCAATTCTGCAAAAAAACATTCTACACGTGACTCGATGATGGCGGCACTTTACAAATAGTTGTAGAGGAAAAAAATCTGAATAAGTTCTTCTACTCTGTTTTCAGTAATCTTTTTCACGTCGGTGTCACGTTATCAAAATCCATCACGAACAATACAGCGTTCTATTAAGTGGTGTAAATATTTGAAATTATATGAACATATAAAGTCATTCACGCAGATGGGGACTTACATTATCCACCCAGTAATTAATTGATCCCTTTTATTTGGCATGAAGTTGTGTTATTTGTTGCTGTCACACTTATTTTTTAATCATTCAGCTTTTTCTAACTCCACTTGATTACCTTGTATCTATAGATTTTAGACATGTTATTTTAATGCTGCATAATTAATCCAACAAGCATAGCTTCTTTTAACAGTCAGCTCCTTTTCAAACATTTACTCTATTTTGCTTAAGATCCAGATATGACAAAGCAAAATGAGTAGACACGCATGAATTTATTTAAAACGCAGAGTGATGTATGTGTACAAATGTTAATGCACAACCAAGTAAAGGCAAAAGGCTATGGATGGTCTCGCAAGATGGCGGTATAAAACCGCCTTCGCTCGAATTAAACAATAGTTATTGGCCATTTATATTTTCTTCAATAATCCACAATTGTTCCCAGTTTCTATTTTGCAAGTGTGACAGTGATGGAATGTACAAATTTGCTGTGTAGCCCAAAATACTCTTGATGCATAAATTTTGCCCAATTTTCTACATTCACTTCAAAAAACTTAATTCGTAACAAAAAATTTTTTTTATTGTCATAGTGATATAACAAAGCACAGGCAGATATTTCGATAATAATGTATTAATAATATGCTTATGTTTGGTGAAACGATTGTATTCATGCTTTAGCAATAAATAATTCTGGATGGAAACTGTGTTTTAAAAATTGTATGATTAGCAGAAAAATGTTCCGCCTAAAAATACAAAGTAACATCGAGGCAAAGGCACCATCACACACTTGTACATTTTCTGTATTTTTAAACACATACTAACAAAAAATAAACGAAGTTAAAATTATGCATTACCATCTGTATTAAAATAAAAACCCATAACAAATAATCCACGTGCATTTCATTCTCTAAATTGACAACGTCCGTATAAATGAATAAAAGCACGTCTCGTTGCATTAGTATTATTATTAACAATGTTTGTAACGATTTGACTGCGATTTTGTCCCGTTTGGCGCACTTTTCCATACTTGTTTTGATGGTTGTATTTTAACAACGAGCAGAAAAGGGAAAAACTACATCTGCCGAGTGCCAAGTGTGTCCTTCTTGTGAACTTTCACCTTTTGAACCGGTCGAGGCTACAGTCGTGGCGGGCAGATAAAAACCTAGTGCTCCGTTTCTGCGCTTCCAAATAGTTGACACCGCTGCCCAATCTGCCCACACCTTTTGAAAGGCTATACTGCAAACGGAGAACAATATCACGCATATCTTAATAAGAAAACATGAAATAAAACGCCATGCTTCATTATATGTGGAATAGTTTACCGCGTTTAACAACTGTTTAACAAAAAGTCGGTTTTACATAAAATAACATATGCATTGCCACGCAATACTGTAAATATATAACCACAAATTATAATTCCGCCAGTAGTTTCATTGTAAAAATCCTACAATTAAACCGTAACCACTTTACAATCACAATTAGTCACATTGTAAGATATAGTTAAGGACAGTAACCAATTGCATTACTTACACTGGCTTTTAAAATGTCTTTTACATTTAAAAAAATGTGTGGCAACGCCGTGTTTTTCAATCACAGCGTCGTGAACAAAATAAGTATTCGTGGTATTTATTTACATGCAAAATAATATCTACAATACTTAACAAACAGTGGCATATAATTTATATAGGTTATCACAGTTGCTTTCGGAGTTTCGGGTTGCAGATCGTGTCCCTGCGAGAAAGGTGGTAATTTGAATAAACACGCGTAACCTCATCTTCCAATTCATTGAAGTACACACAGCACAGTACGATACGTTAAATGGGTAAATGTTCATTTCTGATACTTTTACAGGGACACTGGCCGCCCCCACCCGCGCGAGTTTGTGCACGCATGCTGTATATTTCTCATTTAAAACATTGTTGCATTATCGTTAAGCGGTGAGTCAACTTGCGCGAAAGACAAAGAGCTACAGTTTCTGCGTGAGACTGGCTAGGAGCTGCACCAGTAACCACCGCCCCCGAGTAAGAGGGCAAAGTTTGAACGATCTCAACTAAAAGAAAAAAATAGTGCAAAACAAACAACTTGTAAAGACTTTTTTTGTTTACATAGCAGGTGGACGTGACGTAATCTTGGGTCGCGATACTCCAAAAAATAATAATATCCAACTCCGCGCGAGTGCGTCCCCTGGGGCTGTATTCTAATAAGCTAGTCCCAAATACTTCACAGAATACATTTTGATATATTGAATTCTAATGCAAAAACATGCTACATCTTCCTACTATGAGTCATGTGAGAGCAATCTAACAGGAGTTAGTGTATAGTTTTTTTTTTCTTTTGCATTAATAATAACAGCAGCAGTGGCTGAAGAAGAGAGCGCGAGACAGCGCGTGCATCCCCGAGCCCAGCGCCAGCGGAGGAATATTCTAGTTGTTGTTTATTCTTCGGCTTGTTGTTCATTTTTCTATTTTATGATTATCGCACACTCTCACGTGTCAAGCTTTCTCTAAACACAGAAAGTCCCAAGTCATTCGCATCCGGTGGCTATTCGTCTCGGCGAGGATATAAAGCGGCATTGCGGTAAGTTTGCCCTCCGCCGTTTAGCCCCTTTTCCTTTCTGACTTTCACTATTCTCTTTATCGATAGGTTTTCGCTCGCGGACAAACTTCGCGTGATGGTTATGAGCGCATCCGAACGGCGATGGTGCGCGCGGCAGCCCCGCGCGACGGGCTGGACGGACCGCGTGCACCGCGTCCCGTATTTTAAGCATTTAAATAAACCGCACAGAGGCTGATAAGTTTTGCGATGAATCCTCTCCGGCGGTCTTGTGTTCTGTAGGCGAACTACTTCAAAAAAAAAAAAAAGCCCTGGATGCATGCACCGCACTTCTGGAAGATATAACCTTTTTTTACTCTTTTCCTTTTTTTAATGGCCAAATCCCACTGGTTTTTAAAAATAAATGCCGATAACGCTGTAAGTATAACTAAGGGATTTTATGTTTGTGTGATAACATGCCTTTCAACGCATTTCGGCAAGCTATTAAATTAAAAATGGATATGCACATGTATTTCAAAACGCAAAAATTAGTTAAGCAAATTATTGCATTGTATATAAATATATATATTTTTAGGTGAGTCCGACGTGACATGTTTCTCGGTTCGAGCGATGTGTCTCCTAGGCAGCTCGATTCGTGCTGGCAGCCAGTTTCCACGTTTTAAGCTTCTCTTCTCAGGAAGAATGTCACGTCCAGTTTTAAGATCACCAGAAACTCTGTTAAATGAAGCTGATTTCCCCTCTCAGTGGTTTCACGGCATATTTAAGCTTTGTTTTATTTTAATTTATTGAACACTTGGCAACAATTACCAGTAATACACAAAACGACGATTCGGTCTTTGAGCATCGTGGTCAGTCAAGTTTAAACACGATTGCAGATTTGCGATACATCAGCCGTAGATACAAAAACAGCCAACTTTGTTATTATATTTGAGAAGTCTCGAAAAGCAAAACATCCTGGGATGTGTGAGAAATTGCACGGTTCGTTTAATCTCCACCGCAGACTATTTCTGGCATGACATTTGAAATTAATTTTAATAAGAGCTGTTTGAAATTTTTATCAGGAGGAGATTCTAACGAGGTTTGAACGATGAAGAGATGCGTAATGGGGAACATGTGAAAAAGGAAAAAAATAAAAATAAAACGACCAGGAATTTAAGATACGTTTATAAGAAACATTACACAAACTGCTCGGCGTTTACCATCACCGTGCCACTGGAAATGAAAGGAATGCATGACAAAGGCTGTTTTCACGTCAGTATTCCTGTTACATTTTCGGACACTTTCAATCTTGTGTGTTCAACTGAAAACAGCACAGTAAACTCAAAAATATTAGGTAAAAGCCTTGTTGTTCAAAATTACGGTCATGGCCGTGCAAAGGCTGGTATAGGTTATAGCATTTTCTGATAACATCTAAAATTTAACTGATGTAATCAGGTTGTGGAATTCATTGATATTACTGTTATTATTTTCAGTATTTTATATATGCACACACTTGTGATTTGGTTTACTTTTTTAATTACATGTACTTTTTGATAAACATGTTTTTTGCCTAATTGTTAATATTATTAATAATAAATGCCAGATGTAGTACTACTGTAGTACTACTGTAGTACTACTACCACTACAATTACTAATACTAATACATTAGTATTATTATATATTGACGTGTTCTGAACAATGGAAAATGTCTTACCGTTTTTGATATCTCCTTTTGTATATTCTTGACATCCTCCTCATTCATTTAACTGATACCACAGTGTAATACCTGATTTATACAGGGAAGTTTTGGCTGTTGCATTGCAACCTTACAAAGTAATTCTCTTAGTCCTGATCCACTGCAGATGGCAGTTTAGCCTGAATCGGGTTGGTGTCAGTGACAGAGTTCTTTGAAGGGGTCTGATCACTGGTCAGTTTTCCCCTTCAAAATAGCCAGGCGCTACCATGGTATTTGATCGGTGTTTCGCACATTTTTTCTCTGCAAGGCTTTTAACTGCAGGTGTGGAGTGTAGTACTTCAGTGAACAGTGCATGTTTTTTTTTCCCTTCCCAAAGTCTGGAAGGCTGTGTAGGCTTTAAACTTTAAATTAGAAACGCAGAGTACCTAATTTATTGCCCTTTTAAAAAAAAAATATATAAGTCTTTCTGCAGTTGAAATTGGCACCTTTATTGCCTTAGAGGGCCCTGGCCAGGTGTGGATCAGAACACTGGGTCTCTAGCCGCTGTAATTCTCATAGCGCCTCACCGGTACCTTTCTGTAGTCAAATGGCAAGCAGGCCCGCTTGGATCTTGGTCTGACTGATTTTTATTGGACCAGCATTTAACAGCAGTTTTGTTCTGTTGTGTTTTGCTACTTTGAGGGATTAATAAAAATGATGACGTTTACTATATGAATCTTCAGACATCTTGTCTAGTCACTACTGTATGGAAAAGAAGAGAATATGATTAATTTTTTTTTAGCTCCCATTGTGTGTGTGTGTGTGTGTGTGTGTGTGTGTGTGTGCGCGCGCGCGTGCACTAGAACAGTATGTTCAGCATCTCTGCTCATGAATCTGTACCATAATTCCGTTCAAGGTAGGCACGGCACTCGTTGTTTTCCGGAAGGCTTCCGCTGTTGCGCTCAGGTCGTTTTTTTGTTTCTCATTATAAATGATGTTCGCAAATGTTCCTTGGGGCAGAAAAAAAAAAATAGCGTGCCACCTTCTCATAGCTTCACATGTCATCCAGTGAACTCTAGATATCATCAGCCTCTTGCTCTTAAAAATGAAGTACCATGCAAAATCAGCATTGTTATTTTTTTGCATTTTCCTATTTTTCCTGGAAATCTCCTGTGTTTTATGTGCATTTGGTATGAGGTATAGAGTGAGCAGGGGTAGAGTCTGTGGCGTGTGCCGTCAGCTCCTGCCCTGATGTAGCAGCTCCAAGCCGCGGAAATCTACTCTGCTCTGAGCCTAATAGCAATTAAACTGGAAATGTTCCTGTTTTCATCACCGGGAACTTCATAGAAATGTTTCCATGACAACCTCCATGCTAGTTAAGGCAACCCAAGGTGATCAACAGTTTATTTATTCCCCCCCCAACACACACACACACACACACACAGAGCAAGAAAGGAATCTGTGTTGACAGTCTTGGCCTTTAATGGTACTTTGGTACGTGCGAAAGTATTTGTTTACCGTATCATATGCTGTTAGCTGTCAGCCTGGGGTGGATTGACTTCTCTTGATAAAAGACTTTATTATGTTCTCGAAGCGCTCCTTCACTTTAATTATCCACATCAGTGTAATGGCATTTCTTCTGCTTCACTGTGTTCAGATAGTTGCATACTTTTGACTCCTGTGTTCGCTTGATCTTTGTCTCATTTATTGCTTTTTATTTATTCTTTTTTCCCTCTGAAATGTAGTGATATTTTTCTTGTCTTCCTGCTTAATTGTTACGCACATTCCTTTATTATCTAGAATGCTTCCCCCCCCCCCCGCCCCCCCACTTTTCACTGGTCTGCATTGTTATTAAACCTGGGTCATTTTTAAATGTAAAACGCTGAAGTGTGACATGCAGTCAAGCTTTGCTTTTTTAGTTTTTATGTGCTTCTTTTTTTTTTCTGAATGTCCTTTCTTTTCCCCGAAGATTTAAAGACACAAAGACAGGTTGTGCACTTTGGCGTGTTGGGGGGGTACGTGACACTGCATTTCAGTCATGATTATGCTTTACTCGTTGACTTTTTCGCTTTGCACTCTGTTATGGCGACACAAATGGTTTTTATTTTCGTGATGTTTGTCAGGGCCAAGCAGTACCAAGTGGACCTGAAAAGCTTATTTTTTTCTGGGGTTTCCTTAGTGTGGAGGTCAGGTATAGAAAGAACAGAGACTGTGTGGGGAAAAAAAAAAACAGATTTGTCAAGTAAGCATGAAAAGGCAAACGGGCATAAACCACTATGTTTTCACAAAGAATAATGTATTTTACATAGATTAGCTTTTTGAATCTTGCCGTGTACATCTATTAAAAAAATATAAGGGTGAGCGGAACAGCACCACCAGTGTGTTGTGGACAGGATAGGAACTGCACATGTTTTATACTGCCAGCGTCGACGTGCAACATCGATAATTCATCACTGTATCTCTCATTAATGATGAGCCTGCGTTTATGCTGATAAGCACAGAGAGATTCTAATGAAGCAGAATTTCTTAATTCTGCCTTCAGCAAAGTATATTAGGCCCATTATTTTATTCATATTTTTTCCTAAAAATGATCAATTAAAATTCCTATTGCTTATTTTTTTTGAAGCAGTATGTTGATGGCAGGGAAGGTCATAGTGACTCTGGTGGGTGAAAAATCAAACTGCAATGCTGCACGTTTACTGCAGCTATGCAGGGCTGCACTGCTGCACATGCTGTTGTCCACCTTGGGAGGGGGGGGGGTGGCTGGTTTGATGCCAACCCCCAGGTGTAGGCATGTAAATCGCAAGGAATCGTGTCAACACCACGTCTCAGACCCCTCCAGAAATACGGCCGGATGCCTGTTCTCTTGTTGGTTTGGCGTCGAGCTGTGTAGCCGTATGTAGAAATGATTCAATTTCACGGTGTCTCAGAGGCTCTTATTTGTGTTTTAAATTCACTTCCAGCACTGCAGGTCTGTGAAATGTCGATTACGGGCTGTCGCATCTCCATCAGTGGAGAACATAAACCGTCGGTCCGACATGAGACGTTCTGGTGGGTTGAAGGCTGTCACAGGCCCCATTTCTGGACGTCTGCGAAATCCGAGTTCCTGTTTTCGAGCGAGGCCTCCGTTGTCAACGGGCACTCCCTCGTTCAGCGAGACCCACAACCACACCACAACCAAGAGCGTAATTTGCACGCGGCTGCAGACGCGCAAGGGGCGGTCATGTCTCTGACCCGGCAGGTTGCGCGGGACCTCCCCGCGCTGACGTGTCTTTGGGCGGGTGCCCCGTTAAGGGAACAGGACCTCAAGCTCTCTTTGGGATTTCAATGTTTTTTCCACTTAATTGGGATTATCGCATTTCATGCGTGTTTTTTTTTTTATTGAATCCTGGCACATGGTATGAAACGGGGATTAGTAAGCTCAGTCCTCAGTTGCCTTTCGACATGCGCCAATACGCAAAGAAACAAATGCCTTGCGATTAAAGCGGGAGACCGCATTTTCAGGCCACCAGCATAAAAGTAGAAGACCGTAGCACACGTAATAAACTTTAAAGAAGGCCGGCCGGCAGACCTTCTCCTCCCGGGACTCATGTCCTTAACAACAGGACTTCAAACCAAAACACGTCCATTACTGGCAGAACATAACTGGTATTGGCCATGGCGCTTGGTTTCTTTTAACTTTTAAGGTTTTATTACTTATTTTTTAAATACTTTAATTCTCTGCCAAGTTTTCAAGTGGCCATTCACCTTGCAGCGCCCTGGG